AAAAGAAAGTTCACAAAAAAACAAAATATCAGGCAACAATTCCCTGTATCTTTCCAAAAACTCATCAATCCTTCAATTAATAAACATGCCTCAGAATTTTATGGCAGCATCAGGGTATCTCTACGTCCTTACAGGATAACTTATGTACTACTTCCATCTCCTCTCTTCCACATACCCTGTTGCTTCCATTCCAGTCTATATTCTATTCCAGCACTAAATAATACATAAGCAATCAGTCCATAGTGTATTTTTCTCTCTCTAGTTAGAGAAAGGACTATCCAAGGGACTGTTGTACACTGATAAATTATTTATGTATCAAAGTTGCAATGACATTACCTCATGTGTTACCAGAATAAAAAAAAAACCCATTAATCTAAGCTTTTCTTTAGTCCTATGGTGAGGAAATACTTCTATTTTACTATTTAGGTACATTGGCGAGATTGTTGACTACCAATCCCTGCCTACATGGGCAGAGGAAACAATTCATTAAACAATGAGTTATGCTGTGGTTATATAATGAAGATTAATTCCATGAACTTGATCTGCAAGTAGCACTTTTCCATGCTCAAATAAAAAAACAAAGTTGACTATGAATCAATTACAGAGGTAAGAGTCAGAAAACCATCCATAAAAGTAACATAAACACTAAATTAGCAATTAGTCATTTTTCTTTAGAAGTATAACTACTCCTGCAAAGCATTATACCTCAAACTATTATTTGCTTAAATGATTCATTTAAGTAAGTATTCTCCGGACAAGCCTGAAGCCCTGGAAAAGAACGGAAAGAGGAGAGGGAGGGTTACAAACTGTAGAGTCGGTACTTTTTGTAGAACTTAAGGACTGATTTGCAACATACTTTTCCTATACTTATTATAAAAGAAATCAAAATTGATGTGCAATTCAAATGATATATGGAAGTGAATGTTTTCTCTTTGAGAAAAAGGTGACATTAAAAAGATATCTTTCTTAAAAGGCCGCACACAAAGCATTTTAAAAATACATCAGTGAACAAATTCTAATATCACAGTCACCCTCCTAACTGAAAGTTAATTCAAAAAAAAAATGACTGGAACAACATGTCACTCAGCACAAGCGTTCAGGTAATGTATTCTTTTGGTAGGACACTCCAGCTATCAAATATATTTTGAAAGCTTTAAACTCTGCAAATGGGTTCTGCAAATGCCAAAAGTAAAGTATCACATTCATCCATTAGACATAAAGCACGAAGCACAGTCCTGCCAGTGAATATCGCGAGATATCCTATATACACTTTTAACAAACCAGTTACTGCTGAGGCAGAATCACTGAGGGAAGCAGATCTCCTCCCCATAGCTGCGGAAAATAGAAGGTGTAGAGAGAAAATGGAACTACTACTCAAGTATCAGTCCATTTTCTTTTCAGGCTAAGGGTAATCTGAGAAGTACCACTGCTTTAGCTGCTGGTCTGTAAACTCCCTTTAACCTCTTACCGTATTCCCTTGTCTCTTTATTTCAGTGGAAAAGAACCTGGAGGTCTTAGTATGACACTTAATAATTAGGCAGACAATTTACAACCTATAGTCTTCGTTCAATTACACTTTTTTATACATCGGCTTTTTGGGCCAGTTGGTTTCTCTGCAAATCTACTCCAAGTAGTATTTCAGTAATACAAAGAGGACTTAAGTAGGCTTTAAGACTGAATTAGTTATTTTCTTCACCTGCTGGATTAAAAGACAAACAAAAATACTTTTTACAATTCATATGGCTGATCACATGAGACCCAATAGCATAAGCAACTTCTCATTTTCTAACAATCCATGCTATCTAATAACACACACTAAGACACAGACAACATATTGGCAGCAATACGATTTCATTGTCTTGAATCATAAACGTAGACCTTCTTAAACTACCTCTCCACACCTCTTACACTCCTACTCTGGAACGACGACTAAATACAATGAGCAGGGTCCCCTCAAACACATACCTCAGTGTTTAACAATGCAAAAGTAACAAAAATATTGCTAGTTGATTCCTAGTACATTCACCACATTGTGTCTAACACAGCACTATAGAAAGCTAACTGCGAAATGCAAATTTATAGTTTTGTATCATCAATTTAAAATAGTTTTTCAGATCAGCAATATTTGTTTATGAAACACTTCTAATTTGACTGAATGTTTATTACAGAAATAATTACTTGATATGAAGAAAACACAGCATCCAAAACCTGAGATACTAATTACTACCAAATCCACTCCTTGGCTGGCGGCACAACATTTCATCTTTAAAATAAATGTCTATTATTTTTGCAAGGCAGACAAAGCAAAGATTCAGTCAAGATGACAATTACCATCTGGCTATTTGGGCTAATTATGAGCTACGAATTAAACACACTTGCAGCACAGTAACATCAATATTTCATATGTTGGTTAGCCTTGAAAACCACAACTTTTGCTTATTACAAGAGGTATTAAAATTCTATATATTTAAGAATTGTCTGCTTTGGGGTCTCAGCTCAAAACAGAGAGATGATGGGAAAATAAAAGCTCTCTGAAAAGCTCTGAGTTAACCCTGCCCCCTTATACAGGGATGCTAGACTTCGCACCTAGTATTTTCTTATTTTTTTCTTTTCTGAAGCCATCTACTTATCTGAGAGCTTAGGAGCACAAGACACCCAGAATTCACATCAGTTTAGACTTGCACTCTCATGGCAATTACACAGCAAATTACAGGTTGGAGACCACTGCTCATCAACATGAATACGGCACTAGCCACACATCCACCCACTGTTCAAGAAAACAGTGTATCAGCTGACCCCTCTGGACTGCTCCTGTGATTGCATTTATAAAGCTACATGACAATTCTTAACAATAGCCTGTCTAGTTCTTTTAATGAGAGTTTAAAAATTACGGTACGAAAGACTTAAAGTATCTTCAATTCAAAGCAATACAATTGCTTATATACATTTATCTAGCATATTAAGACATGGGACAATTTAACCACGACAGTAAATCCAAAAATCACCAAATTTAATCTAAGCAGAACTGCATACCACACAGAAACTAATGACTAACTTGAATAAGAACAGTATTTTGTTTAAAAGGGAACATTAAAACATAATTACCTCCAGCAAGGATCTTCTCTTCCAACTCACTCATCTGCTTTTTGTACGCTTTTAAAGCAGCTTCTTTAAATGATGGCCGTATTCTTTTTTTTTTTGGAGTTTCAATAGGCAGCTCTGGGACATTCTGATTTTCATCTTCTTTTACTTCTACATCTGCTGACATGTCACATTCTACTTCCAATATTGCTTCACTGACCTCACTGTCAAACTGTGTGTCATATTCCTCCTCTTGCAGTGTTGCATAAGGGGTTTCATATGAAGGCTGCTCCAGGTCATACTCTTGGATCTGCTCACTTGATTCACTAGTATTAGTTCTATTTTCTAGTTTAGCAAGGACTTGTTCCATTACTTCTACATAATCTGTTTCATTTTCACCAGCTGGTTCAATTAAGTCTCCGTCATCCTCTGCTTTATAGTAATAAGGCTCAGTGTAAACATCAGAATCCAGTGTTGTGCTTGATTCATTTGCAGTAGACTGAGATAAAGTCCTAAACCTTCCCATGAAAGAAGATCCGCTGTCTTCATACCCACTTAAACTTTGTGTGCTTTTATTCCAGACTACTTCCAATGCTGACTTAGCACGCTGAAGTGTAGATCCAAATTTAGGAAAGCTGAAAGTTTTATCAGAAAGATCTATGCTTAATCGGCTGTGCCAAGATTTAGGAGGTGCTTCTTCCGAGTCATCGCTTGGTAGTTCACTCTGACTTCGGTACCTCATAGGCAATCTGTTCTGATTCTGATGAAAGGAGTTAGAATTTGTTTCCTGATAATCATCATACTGACCAGTCCACTGACTTTGTGACTCACTGTCAAGACCTGCACATGATGGAGAAGTACCATCGAGGGTATAATCATAACTCTCAGTGTCATACTGCAGATCAGAACTTTGGCACTTCCCAAAATCCATCTGTTGATCTGAAGGGCTGCTCATATCGTATGCAAAAACTTCTTGGGTAGACGAATCTAAACCCAAATCCGCCCCTTGTTCCAACTGATTCCATTCTTTCCATGGTGAAAGATCATCATGCAAAGAAAGCTGAGAACCGCTATAGCGGCTTCTGTCTCCAGGTACACATACTATTCCATTGCTTACTCCACTGTCAACTGTTTCTGTGTTCTCTACTTCATTCTGTGCTGGATACTGTTGCACATCTTGGGCAAAAGTCTGCTCCTGGGAACTACCATACCAGTTAGTAGAATCATCTTGCCTTCTTTGCCAAAGTTCTCGATCCGAGGAAGACAACAGTGAACTGCCATTTGTTCTGCTAAAATACTGGTTTTCTGAAAAATCATCAGAATAAGACTGACACAATTTTGAGAAATCTGAGTCTGAACGGCTAAGTTTAGGTGTTGCAAAGTCATTCTGCAAATGCCATACGGGGGTCATATCTGAGTAGTAGGCCTTTGAGTGGTTTTCCATATTGTCATATTCTGGTGACTGATCACGGTATTTTCTTCTGTTTGAAGAAGTGCTACTGTCAGCAATTCTATTAAGTTCTGTAGTATTTGGTGACTGGATACTGCCCTTGGTAGTGCTTGTTTTTATTTGAAGTGCTGATTTTGATATTTTTGCATAACTGTTCTTATTTATATCTGATTCCATCTCTTTATCACTGTCAGGTGACTCCCAATCATGCTTTTTAGTTTTCATCTCCACAGTTAACAGCTTCATATCCATGCTCTCATACGTCTGAGAGGAGGGCAGTCCTCTTTCTCTTTTCTCTTTAACATCATGAGAAAAAATATCTGTAGAAATTCCAATGCCAGTTCCCTTAAGTTTGTAAGACTTTTTTAAAATCAGATCTCTATGCTGTGATGACTCAAAATAAACAAGGATTGGTCTTGGCTTTGCGTTCGGACAGTCTCTTTGTTGCCCCAGTCTTTGAGCAAATTCAATCTTAATAGTGCTTTGTGCCTCCAAGAAACCCATTTTATCTATTAATATTTTGTAAACTATATTTTCAGTTTTTTCAAATCTCTCTTCAGGCACATTCAGAAACCTAAGACTTGCTTTGTCTCCTGGATAGCCTATTTGCTTAATGTAGTCATGTATGTCTCTAGTTTCCCTTCTGGACTGTACAAATCCAGTTCGTAATTGTTCAATTTCACTTTGTACAACTTCTACACTACTAGAAATTTCATCAATTGATTGTTTCAGAGCATTTACATGCCCTCTTAATTCAGAAAGTTCTGTCTCAATTTGACTGATTCCCTGAAGCTCTTTAAAGATCATTTCCATAACATCATGTGTTTGACTAATGCAACCTGTTGAACTAAAACCAGGTTCAAGAGTATTTGATTTCTGGTGGCGGCCAGTTCTGTCTAAAGATTTACTTCTTAAGCCCCACGTTTTTCTCCAGGTACTCAGCTCTGAGTCTGAGGAGACACATTCTTGACTCTTCTTCCATTTCCTTAATTTCCGTAAAGCTCCCAACTTTAGTGTGTGTAAAGTACGTTCTCCATCAGAGCTTCCATCAGATGGTGCAAGGCTGCTTAAACTCTTTCTGTTGCGTCGCACGGGCATTGTGTGAGACAAATATTCCTTTCTCTTGCCGTTACTTTTTACTTCACTTAATGATTCAGAATATGAGCTATCATTTGAAGACAGATCTTGAACTATATCTTCGTTATTATTGTTTGTTACAAAAATAGGCTTTTGTAGTCCATTGGCAATGGCAACTCTATAACTGAATGTTGGAGAAAGGGAAAATTCCCTATTATTTTCTTCTTCTTCAGCTGATAAGTTGCGAGCAGATGGACACTTGGCGATCTTTTTAACGGTGCTTTTCAAAGTTTTTGAAAATTTTGGATTTTTTGCTTGTCCAACCTGGGATAAATCTTGTTCCTTTTTGCTCTGACAACTCTCTCTCTTTTTTGTACTATTTCCCAGTTTCTTTGTAAACATTCCTTTGCAAATCTTATATATGTAAGATGAGATCAGGCTCTTTATAAGCGCAGAAACCATCAAGTGTAATTTATATTAACTTGTTTCCATAAAACGTAATTTTTGATCCAGACAAATATTTGTATCTCCAGCAGGATCATCAGCACATATTTCATCAATAGCACGTAAAGACATGTAAACTACTGATGCTCTGGCATCACAAGACAGCAAAAGAAAGGGGGTAAAATCACACATCTGCTTGTTAGACACCAAATCCTGAAGGTGTTTTCTCTACGTGTTGTAAAATCTCACACTGCTGCACATGGTTTCTTGAAGTGTCTAAAAAGGAGGGAATGATGTTACTATAGCTGCCAAACAAATCTATTCTTACAGTACTGATACTCTTTTAGTTGGGTATAAAGGAAATAGAGTTATTAAATATCTATTTATATTTTCCTTAAACAGCAGTCTGAATACAGCTTTTCACAAACAACTGAAGCTGCAAGCAGTCCTGTGTGAGTATTTAAAAAACAAAAGAATAAGCTAAATTTATTTACAGACTTCTTTGCCCAGTTTGATTCTCAGACTTTGAGATAATTCCTATTAATGCTGGGTACTTTCTTTCAGTAATATTACCCCTTCAATTTATGATTTGATAATCATTGCTTTATGACGTATAGCAATGGTAAGAACCATGAACTGAACAAGTTCTTCCTCACTAGTACAACAGTAAGGTCTCTCTTTGTTCACTTTCAAGAGCAAGGTAGGATTCTGTGCAACAAACTGGCATTGTATCTATGAAGCACAGTTGTATTTTCAGATTTAATTATGTGAATGACTGTGGTTTCAGAAACAGACATTCTACCTTGCAGTCTTTAACGTATGTTACATATGGTAAGCCAGGACTTAATGCGTGCATAGCTTCTAAGCTTTTCTTCATGAAGAGTGAGAAAGAGATCTGAAAATGGCAGATAATCTCAGTGAAAACTGATAGAACATTCTCATTCAAGTTACTAAGTTTCACATTTTGTCACACACACGCACATACACACAAAAAAACGGATCTAAACAAAATAGATGAAATGGAAATGGAAAGTGGAGGGAAGTGATTTCCAAGTTCAAGGACAAAAAGACAAAAGGAGATGTTGCTACAACAGGAAGGTGATTTGATCCAAAAATCAGAAAGGGCAAGAAGAGAATCCAGGATATTCCTAGAAGCATCTAGTCCATAACCCAAGAAAAACAGTCAATCCATTTTAAATAGACATATAAGCAGGTATACTTTGTACAGCATATCATTTAACTTAACCCCAGTGCTACAGAATAATTAGCGAGACAGCTCAGAAAAAAAACAACGAAGTAGCATACCTTAAAATGACCACTTCAGTTTCTAAACTAGCTAAAAATTCTTTGGCAGCGTAAGAAGCTTATTAAGACAGGAAATATATGAATGGTTAGAACTTCTCCTGTGGTGACACAAGAGGGTTTCTCCCTCTTGTTGGGAATGAACCACCCAACTTATCTGCAAGCAGCACAGCAGTTCATAAAACACTGTCATCTGCTCACATATGTCAACACTTAAAACCAACAGCACATAAACTAACTGGAAGGCTTACTTAGCGGCAGAGGTGACAAAACATCAGTAAAACTACCACTGTAACCTGGAACATCTTCATCCCTTTTAAGTAAGATTTACTAAGTCCTTTGTGGAATAATCTTCTTTTTGGAACCAGTAAAATATTAAATTTTATCCATTAACATATGCCCTTTATCAAAGATACAGTTTTTGACAACACTGTAGCAAATTAAAAGTTGCAATGCTAAATCTGCACACATGGAACATGATAAATGGAACCAAATTAGGTACTCATGTGATTTCCATTCCATTTTAGTAATACGTTTGAAAGCTCACCAATAGATATACTAAACATACATATTTTGTACATTTGAGATATACAAAATGCTTCACATAACTGAGTCAATCATATACATAACAAACATAAATAATCCCACTTTGCAGCTGTGGAAATTCTTCTTCAGCAAGAGCTTCTCTTGCTGTTAAGTGCATTAGGAATCAATAACAATAACGGGAATCCAAATATACACATTTTTCGCATATAGTCTTTTGCCAGCCTTATTATCATCTTGGAATATGATGATCCTGACATAACTGTATTTACATCAGTGTATTTATGTCTATTGGTTAAAGACTTTACTATCGTTTTCACACAAGCATAAATCCTACCCTCCAAATCGCTTCTTCAGCTTACTACAAAGGTAGCTTCATACTGACAAAATCTCCTACCACAGATGACTATTAATTCAGAAGAACTTGATTTGAAAAAAGAAAATTGCTGCTTTGCTATACTCTTAAATACTGATACTTCTGAGCTGTGTTATACACTGATAGATGAATCTCTAAAGGTGGTTACATAAAACGTTATTCATGTTAATACTGCATAGGCCGCATAGCTGCCCTGTCTGCAAACCTTTACAAAGGTAGGCACAACAGCAAGAGAGGAGCTCTGCTTTTTCCTTCAGGTTATTTATTACCTGCCCACAGAACTCCTCAGCTCAAACAACAGAACTTCTGTTGTTTCTATCTTGGCACTTTTTCCCATTTTTTTTTTTAAATAAACATTTATACGAGTCATGGAGAGCTATCAGCACACCAAGCTCTGTGACTTGGCTGGCTGCAGATTTACTTATCTTTTTAGTATTGTTATAAAAGAGAAGTTTGAACAAGGAATATCAATTTTAATGGCAACATCAACCTTAACAGAGTAGGAGAGAGAGTAGCCAGCAGACTGAAAGAAGTTACAGAAGTCATCACTTATGCCGTATGACACCTTGACTTGGAAAGCATCACAGCATCCTTCTATAAACAGTATTTGTTATCCAGAAAATCTGCTTTTTCATGTCCAATGCCATTAGTGGCCAAGGATGGATCTGTCTCCATTTGGCTAACAAGCTATTTCTATTGCCCTTGAAAATCATTTTGGAAGTTCAATACATGTACTTATTTGTTCAAAGGACTTTCTTTATGAAGCTTGTTATCAATCTATCAATGCTTTATTTATGAAGCATGATATGCTACGAAGCATGAACCAACCACCAAAGTGCTGCTTCAAAATCATGTCCAAAGATTATTCAGGCTATAATTTTTAACCAAGTCTTCCACTTTCCTGAATAGCTTGTATGTATGCTCATCACTGTGGAATCTAATCTAAATGTTTTAACACCTGTAGCGCAAGGCACTGGTTATAGCTGTGATTTGACTTAACTTTGATCAAACTAGTGTGATGAAAGAGTAGGTAACAAGTAAAGACAAGTAGCACATTTTAAAAATTTCTTTGGCTTACTGTGTTTTAAAACAGTGTCTGGAAGAGAAGCCATACAGAATTTTGCATTTTACTGGATTTATTCAAGTGATCTGAAAGCTGTTTACACGTAAAGTACTCTACAATATAGAGTAGCACGTTGTCTTCAGGACATCAGAAGAAAGTAGAAATTCCCAACTAGCTGGGATGCGTAATTTCTTTGGAGTGAAAAGTCACTCCCTGCTTAACAAGCTACTGTAATTACCACTGGAAAAGACATTTTTTCCCTGTAGTTTTAAAGACTTTTTTGCTCAATTACTGTTGAAGACAGCAGTTGTAAAAAAATATTTTTTTTCAATATTTTTTACTTGTTTAATTATACTATCCTTCAAACCTTTATGTGCAAATTAATATTTGCATTTCTCACTGAAAAAGTCATGTTACTGTAATTGTGACTCTACTCACAATTACTGCAGCATTATATCCAGAAAGCCCAAGTGATAGGATTTACTCCAAAAATAATGCACATACAGAAAAGATATCTACAGTATACTATGGTAAGTAAACATTCAAACCCGCACACAGTATTTGCTCTGAACACTGTTCAGTTACGCCAGAATTTACTCCAGCATATTTAACTGTTATGCAACTTTAAACAACTTCCGTAATTATGACCTCAAAAAATTAAAATTACGCACTCTTCCCTCTTCGTCTAGGTATAGAATTCGAATTTTCTACTTACACTGACCTGAAACCTGTGATGGGCTATATTCTGCCCTGGATTATCCCTCTTCTAGACAGAGGCTGTGTTTGCACTACAAAAATCTATGCAACAGAGATTGCTTTGGACAGTGAGTAGAGGTTGTTTTGTTTGCTTTTGAATCTACTTAGAAAAATAGCCTAAATGTTTCAATAAATAACCAGCTTGAAATAAGTAGAACTAACAACTTGAAAACCTTATGGCTTCCACTGTGCCTCCAAAAAAGGTTTTAAATATTTTCTAGAACATAACTTTATGTTTCTATCAAATCTTTTGAACAAAACGGAGTTTTGAAAAAATATCCTTTCATTTGACACAAGGTCAAGCAGTCATCTGTGGCTTTTAAATTGGAGAAAAAAATGCCACAAACACAACCTGCAACTAATGCCAACAGCCTGACACACAGGAATGAGTAGGCACATGCATGCACACGAGCCATGCTTGCTCACACCTGCCTTGACATTCATTGCCAAAAATGGCATTGACAGTTATGAAGCAATATTTACATTTCCACCCGAAAGAAAAAATTCCTGCTTCAATGTAATTGAATGACACAGATAAGATGAGAAGACCTGAGTAAAAGCCTTCTTAGGTGCCAAAGAATTTTTACGCTTCATGGATTCTGCTCTACTGTAACGTCCTCATGAGGCAGAATCGAGTACACTACTTGATTTAAACAAAACTATCTTACTAGATATTAAAAACACTACAGTTTAAGGAAACTTTGGAATTTTCCATCTTTCTTGATACTTTTATGAATTGGGAAAGTTAATCAAACCATCAGTGGTCTCCTCCTTAATAATATGTCCCAATAATTCACCTAGGACTTTCTAAGTATTTCCACAGAAATACACAGGTATTAGCATAATGTTGTGCCAACATCACTGCAGAGTCAAGCAAATGGTATATAGAGAGAAAATGTTTACATATCTCTTCATTTAGCATGACTTCCAGAGGAAAAAATTCATGTAGCTTGCATTAAGACCTGCTTCAATATAAATACCTTTGAAATGACAGCAAACCATACCTTCTATCACGTAAGTAACTTACGATGTATGAAACATTTAAATTCTTTTGACTCTGCTTACATCTTTCAGAAGAAACAACACGATCTCTCAACTCTTTTATCCGAATATTGATTGTTTACATAGTAAGAATCAGCATGATATTTTAGAACACTAATATGTCAAGTTACATTTGATTTTCATTTCCTTATTTAGGTTTCCTATCAACTGCTAAATTACAGTTCTGTCTATAAC